GTAAAATTTCACCCCATTCTGGAAGACAAATTCTAAGGAACTGACATTTTTTATTTTTTAAAAAAGTCATATGTTCTCACGTTTCTTCTAGAAGCTTGGTTCTATATGTTACCTCATTTCTCTACAAACGTTATTTTCTTACCCTTCAATTTTAGATGTTGAGTGAAAAGTTATGAAATGTGTTCTTTTTCTTCTTGTATGTGACTTTGTGTAATGACAGGGAGAGTTTTTCACATGCACTAAGAAAAAATCATTCATGAGCCCGCCGTGGAAGTCGGCTGGTTTAGGTTGACTGGGAGAGCAGTGGTGCTGTATCTGCAGTCCCTTGGTTTTATGCCTCACTGGCCAGCCTAGCCTGGTCCTAAAGAAACAGTGCACAACAAGAAGTTGCAGAGTCGGTGTTTTACCATGTCTCTGGAAATGTGAACTCTGAAATCTTAATTTTCTATAGAATAATTAAATAGGCCGGTCAAAATAGTATGCTCTTTTAAGCTTACAGTAGAGTTGTTTATAGATAGAGTTCACTTCTGTGTGTTAATGAGAAACAACTACTGATGTTTTTCATTTTGGAAATTCTGATTTCTTACCTTTACCCAAACAAAATTGTTTTTTCTCTTTTTCTTTTTCAAAAAAATCCTATCTACATTGGCCCTTTTTGAGGTTAGAAGAACTGTGAAGCATATCTTCCTTACTCTGTGTGCTAAAAGTTAATAGAATAGAGGCACAGAGACTTTAACCACTGTTAATTGACTTAAAGAGTAGTTTCTACAGGTATGAGTTGTACAGGAACAAAATCTATAATTTCATTTATGCATCTCAGTGTCTGACACCCTGATGATAGCTTTAAAAAATAAAGACAAAACTAATGCTACTTTAAAATCTCAAATTGTACATGTGAAGCTATTTTGACCTAATAAATACTAGATAATTAAATAGGGGGTATGTGTGAGTATAATTTCATACTTATTTTGCTGTACATCAACTGTCTGGTTTTTAAGTAAACGTTAATGTTAGACTTAAGAGCTTATAACTATAAGATGAGAAAAAGCATTAATTTTAGAATGTTTTAAAAATTATAAAAGTAAATATTGACTTTTTCTAAGAAAGTCTTTTCCTTTGACATTGTTTAATTTTTTTTCCTTTTTGTTTTTTAGGTTTGCAATTTTTTTTGGTGATGGCATGTTCAGAATCTTGGATCCCTAAGTTCAATATATTGGAAATATTTAGGAACCCTGGAAATAATGTTGTTTTCATATACATGATTTACTAGGTGAATCAGTAGATTTAATAAAAGTATATAAAAGAACAGATATTATAATTTTGTGCTTCTAAGTTGGCATGCATGTCTCAGATTATCAGCTGTTAGCATTAGTCTCATACTCTGGATACAGTTTCCTTCAGAAGGTTTTGGGGTTCTCATGAACTTCTAGTTTCCAGGCCATGTAATTCCCCATGCCTATTTGATCAGCTTCTTTCTGTCTGTTTTGGAGTGTAAGTTACTTAGATCAGAGGTACTTATTGATCAGGAAGAAAGAAGAAGGACAAAAAAAATCATCAAGTGACAATCCTAAAGGTAGTAACTACAAAATTTCAACCTGGAAGTGGTCTCAGAATGGTCTATATTAGAATATGCAAATTCTACCCAAATTATATCCAATTACATTTGTGGCAAAATGATGCAAGTTTTCATAAGTAGATATTGCTGTGCAGGACTGCGGTGCCAATGAGGTGGAAGAGAGAGCTGAGTTCCCCCCTCCTCACTCTCTCCCTGTTGCTGGGTGAAAACCTTTAGTCTCCAGGAAGGAGCATTTCGCCTTTAAAAATTGAAAGTTAACTATATTCCCCATCCCTGAACACTGTTTAAAACTGTGGCCTACTTTCCTGTAGATTCACAGTGTGGACGGGGTATTCTTGACCATGGGAATGAGTGAAGAACTTGGATTTGAAAGGAGAGTCAGTCCTCGAGTGGTCATCTTTCCTCTCTCCTGTTCCTGCTGGGGTTAAGAGACTCGAAGAACATTCTGGGGCAGAGACTTATTTTGATGGTTGAATATGAGTGTCTCCCAACTCTTGACCAAAACTGGGGAGGATTGATTGTTAAGACCACATTAAGAGCAACTTGGAAAATGATCAAGAGACTGCAGGAAACGAAAGAGACTGAGTCGTAGTGTAGCAGAATGTTCACGTCCTAGTTTATTGCAGGTTATACTGGTAGATTATCCAGTATTCCTGGAATTAGTATACTAATTTCTATGAGAAGGCTTTTGGAAGCTGAGCCCCAATACCCCATCCCCTTTTTTGCTTTGCTCTGCTTCAAGAGCAACTGGTTGATATACATTTAATAGAAGGCACAAAGAAAACATGAGGTAGATTTTTTAAAAGTCAAGTTACATTTTAATGTAAGCGGCTATTGCCTATTTAACTGCTTTCCCATTACAACTGGCTTTTAAAAACTCCTGTTCTGTGATACTTCTGTCAGTAGAGGTGTTTCCTCTTAGCCAATTCTAGCCACAGTATTGACTGGGCCTGGGCATTTGATATACCTGGAAGGAATTAGCCAGGCAGGAGAAAACTTGGTCCCTACTGGAATGAATATTTTACAGACCTTCTTAGATTCTGACAACTGTGAGTACAAATGAAAGAGACCCAAGAGAGGGGAAAACTTAAGAACCTAAGAATAAAAAGTGGTGGTGGGGGGTGGGGATAAGCTCTGCCTTGCTAACCTGGAGTGCACCCAGGGAGGGGGTCCGTTCCCTGGAGCTGGCGTGAGGGAGCATGCACGCCTGTGGCGGTGGCGTTCTGATGCTAATTGGGATGGTTCCTACTGGCAGGCTACAGCGTTTTAAGGGCAGTGGTATGTGATCTTTGGAAATATTGATGCACTTCCTAACAAATGAGTTTGATTTTATTCTGGCATGATGTAAATGGGTATGTGGCTCAAAGATGAAGTCAATTCAAATTAAATATCTTAGATAATAGGGAAAATATTATATATTAGAATCTTTTATCCCTGTTGTATAACTTTAGAAAATAATACAGACCACTGGGCATAGTAGAGAATTGATGGCATGAATACAGTTAGTGTTTGATGATCGCTTCCTAGAAACTTCTAAATAAAACCTTAAATTTGCATTTAAATGTTATGTTGGTCTCACTTGTACTAGAAGAGCATTGTGTGTTTCTTGGGATATCTGTACCTTTTTGGGTCACCGTATACTTCACAACAATGTACATCACTGAGAAATCAGAAATCTGACTCTGTACCTAGGGATGAACACATCTTTGTGAGTTCAGGTACACAGAGCACCTAAGTCCACAGGGAAAATGAGCCTAAAACAATGGTTCTTTGTATGTTGGAAGTTTTAGACAAACGCCTTTGGAAAATCTATGGATCATTTTCCTGAGAAAACCCCACAGACCTACTTCTTTGTGCAGTTTCTGCGGGTGTAAAGACTGGCCCTGGTGGCGTGTCAGGAAGCGCTGATCTAAAAGACCTCTTCATTTCACTCCAGCCCTCGCTCAGACTGCCCTTGCACCAGTGGGCGACCCCCTGTCGCCCTGGAGTGGAGTGTTGTCTCTTCGAGGCCGCTCACTGCCCTTCCACACGTGGAGCAGAAGCCGTGAGTCGAGAACTTCATAATGAAGTGGACCAAAAACCTCTGCAAAGGGCTGTCCCGAGAGTCAGTGGTGGAAATCGAGGCCGAGGCATCACGGTGGGGTGAGCCGCAGCCCTCCCAGCCAGTGCCTGCTGCCGGTGCAGGGGATTTACTCATACGTTCAGTATCAATGTCTTGTTTTTAAACTTTCTAATGATTATGAAGGTTTTCTCCGTAAGTGTGACTTTTTCTCATGTCTTAGGATATCAGATTCATGATGTAAAATGTGTACTTCAAATTTAAGTCATAACTGGAAATTTGGGATTCTGTTGTTTTGTGACTCTTGAATTTGCAGCACATTTTCTGGAAAATTGTCGAGACTCCCAGATTATTCTGTCTTTATTCCTTTCAGATTTTCCAAATGTATGATTATTTCTGAATTTTATCAATCTTATAAGTTTAGAGAAAACTATCTTCAGTTCTTATTTTGACACAAAATGGATGCATTTGATTTATCTATTAGAAATGTGTTTCAACCAAAAGCCCATTTGAGGGGCCCAGCCTCTCTTTTGGAATCTCATGATCTCCCAGCTGCTACGTCGCTCCCCGGGACTTTGCTGCAGCACACAGCTCCGCTGAGAAGGGCGTCCCGGGAGACGAGGCAAACCGGGGACGCTGGAGCCGTGGGCCTGAGTGCAGAGCGGGAAGAGCTTCCTAGAGGACGAAGACACGGCACATTCCGGAAACATCATAGATGGTGTTGCTCTTTGCACACGAGACTGTCTTTATGCATCAGACCTACAGACAGATAAAACATTTTTAAGCAGAATACAGCTCCCACCTCTGAAACACTTCGGTCCACAGTGCAGCGTGTTGCTGGTGGCCCACGCCGGTGGGTGGGGGCGGGGTGTCCGTCCGTCCATGTGCCCGAAAGCTAGACGTCGTTCTTGCAGGATTCAAAAGTGTTTTTGTTCTTTCAGAGGGTCGTGTTTTAGGCTTTTAAACATCGGCCTCATGCTCTGAGAAAGGAACTTGAAGTGATCCACGCCCTGGGGACCATTCTGTATCCCTGCCGCTTGTCCCTACTGTTGATTTAAATGTGGGGAAAACACCGTGCCAAAAGGATTCCAATTGGTCAAAATCCTGTCAAATTTATCCTGCTTCTTCCCGAGTAGTTTTTTTGTGTTCCCTTTCCAGCCCTTCAGCATGTGGTCCACTTCAGCCCCGTTGTCTTGAGGCGAGATGGAAGTGTCACCACTCACGTGTTTCATCTTCTTCCCTCCCATTCCCTCCCTCTCGTCCTGCTGAGGACGGAGTTTTGCAGTTGCCTTGCCGGGAAGAGTCCACTTGTTCCCCTTCGTGTCCATCTCCCTTCCTGCTTGTTTTTGTGGGGAAGTAGAATAGGTCTAGCGTAGGGGTCGAGGTATGCCTATAAAAATTCACAGCATCATATTTTAAATGTAGCTTTGTAGTTGTGCTGTTGACAGCAGTCTTCATTGGACATCTCCGTGCTGAGCACTGTTCCCCTCCAAGCACTATATTCTTTTGAGGCCAGGAATGGACCTCAACCTGCCCCAGGCATGGGAGGACCCAGTACTGATGACCGCCTAAGCTTGCCAGTTCCTGGCCTTGTGAGTTAATGAGATAATTGAAGAGATCCATGTTTCTCCCAGGCACTGGCAGAAAATCATGTGCAGAGAAAGTGGTCATGTCCATGAGATTCTGACAGCAAGATTTGTCAAGAAATAGGTCAAACTTTTAGGCCCACATTGACTATCCAACTGTGTTTTACTTTATAAAAACAAAAACTGCCATAACCCTTAAAAATATTAGCATATTATCCAGACCTATTAAAAATATAACACTCTCTAAATTTTTTTATGTATAGTTTTCAGAAACACTGCCAAATGCATTTTGTGTAAAGGAGGATATATTGTATATAATCATGTTCTGACTCTGGCTCTAATAAAAGTTAAACGGTCTAATTATTTCAAACCCTGTAGTTTGAAATTATTTTTTGAGAAAAATCTTAGAGCATGGCACTATTTTTAGTTTTCATGTAATGTACAGCTATTCTCAGAAGCTGCTTATGTGTTTGTGTTTCATGTATAGAAATACTGTAAATAGGGCCCATGGATTTCCCCAGGAAGCTTCTGAGCTTTGGTTGTAATCACCAAGTGCTCGGGTCTAGGTGGCTGGATGTGCATCTCAAGCTTTACTGTGCGTGTTGCAAACTTTGTCCAAATAAAGTAGCTTTGTACTCTGAAGGAGCTGTTAGTAAGTAAAATTTTTTTTAAACCATGTGAGTTAAAGGAAGTGAACAAAAGATTTCTAAACATGATGATCTTAGTCAATGGTTTGCAACTTTCCTACACGGCGGGAGCAGTAGTAGAAACTACAGGACTTGGGTGGGGAGGGGAGCGTGTGGGACACACACTTTATAGGGAGGGGAAAGGCCCCCTCTGGAGCCAGTGGTGTGAGCCAGTGTTGGGCTTCTGTGTCCTGGAGACCTGAACCCACGGCCAAGGGAGCTTGAGTACTTGGAACCTGTCCGCGCAGTTCTGGAATGACGATGGTGGGTGCCAAGCTGCCACAAAATAGCAAAGAAAGGACAGGTTGGGGACTTCATACTCCATTTCTGTTTAACAGTTGTCCATTAAACGTTGATGTCCTCTCTGTTTATGCCTTTATTTGATAAAATAAGTTTGCAATCCTGAGTTTTCTAAAGATACTTAACTTTTTTTTATTGTCTGTGAAGTCAGAATAGGAGCTTCTCTTGGAACTGTACAATAAATATCAGCATTTTAAGGTCTCAATTCTGCCTAAGGAACCTGTTTAATTTTGTTTATCTCATAACCCGTAACTCACAGGACACTAATTAGGGTGTCTGAGAACAGTTTGGGGGTGTTTAGACAATTACTTAAGCATTGCTGTGTGGTGGGGGTCACTGTCTTAAAAACCTCATATGGTATTAATAGCAGTTAAAAGAACAGCCATTATAGCATGCTGTTCAACCAACGCTTGACCAAGAACTCTTTCTGGAAATCTCTTGAACAGATTTCCAAAAGTTTTATGTGAAAATGAGCTGAAACCTCAGGTGATGAAGCAAAGATCCACCACAACACGGGCTTTCAGGAAATCGTTTATACTATTTTGCGGATAATTTTTCAATCTGCACAATAGTCACCAACCTGCAAAAAGTTGTACACTAATAGCCAAAAGTGATACATTGGCTAGAACTTGTATTATTCTTACTGCTCATCTATGATAGCAAGTTTGAAATTGACTTTGTCATAGTCTTGTGTGACTAGACTATTTTTATTATCTTTAAAGAAATGGACAAAAAGACCCCAAAGGAGAAGAAACCAAGGATGAATCCATGATGCATTTGAGCTGTTTGGCCGTCACCTTCATCTTTGCAGCGGAAGAGCATGTTCCAGAAAAATTTAAGCTAAATACCAATTTTTATGTCTTATCCACTTTACGTGCCAGCTATGTGCTAAGTGCTTTGTAATGCAATGTGTCAAGGAGCAAATTTCCAAGAAACATACTGACATTTCTTCCTTGACTTCTTTAAGATCAGAGTTGATGTCCTTCCTACATGGAGGCAGGCAGGAAGTTCAGAAGGAGGCAGTGATCTCTAGGCTGGTTTACAATACTCCAGAGGACCTGCCTTTATCTCCCGGGACATTGCAAAATTCTTACTGAGTTGCTCATTAGGCATGGCTTGCCATATTCTGCATGGACTGTTCTCCCTAGAGATTTTTTCTTAGGAGACCCAACGCTGAATTATTAAACCCTGGGCTATGATTAGTGAGGCAGACACCTGCTTTCTGTATTCTCTGGGACTTGAAAGCAAGAAGGACATGACTAAATGAAATGGCTTTGAGGGACATTTTGGACTTCATTTGCAGCATTGCTCTGCGTCTTCTCCCGTGGTTGGCAGACTACCAGCAAGGGCTTTCGAATCTCACGATACCGGAAGGCACTACTTTGCTGTTAAAATTTGAATTAAATATTTTGAACACTCCCAATTTTTCAGCAAAGATTATAAATCAATGCATACTAAAGTCATTTCACCTAAAATGACATGACTGAAAAATGTGTAGATTTTGCAGTTTTGTATTTGGAAGGGAAAGTACAAGTTTCTGACTGTGGGTGGGTTTTCGATGACACAGTTACAAGCAGAGGGTTTAGTCTTTTCTCTTTCCAATGGCTCATTCTTGCTCCCAGGCAAATGCCACTTTTAGTCAAATAATATCTCAGAAGTTTTCTCTTAGCAATTGGGATTTTCTTTGGCTCTTGAGTGGTTCTCAGTGGTCTTTTAGACCCCATTTTGATCTTAGAAAACTACATCACAGAATGGGTTAACATGCAATTTTAAATGCCCCATTTTTTAGAATCTTCTAGAAAATATTAAAATATTGAGATAAACCCCCCCCCCCTTTTCTTTTTTTGAGGTAGAGAGGCTGGAGTGCACTGGTGTCATCATAGCTCACAGCAACCTCAAACTCCTAAGCTCAGCCTTAGCCTCCCAAGTAACTGGGACTACAGGTGCACGCCACCACACCCAGCTAATTTTTTTCCATTTTTGTTAGAGACAGGATCTCACTATTGCTCAGGCTGGTCTCAAACTCCTGACCTCAAGCGATCCTCCCACCTCAGCCTCCCAGAGTGCCAGGATTACAGGTGTGAGCCACCTCTCCTGGCCCAGAAAGTCTATTGAAAACCAACTTTTGAAACACAACAAAATTTGTATTTCCCCCACCCCTACTACCCTTGCTTAAGATTCAAAAGAAACTTAAAAAAACTTTCTTCCTGTAAGAATGTGAATAGACTATAAGGGAACAGGATATCTAAGTGGTTCTTCTCACCTAAGCAAGCAATAAATAAATTCTTCAAACACCCTAAAAGAGGTACCTTGAACTTTTCCGTAAGAAATATATAATTGAAAACAGGAGCTTAGTATGAATATGTGTGAACTTGTAGTAATCCTAACCTGTGGAGAGAGAGCTTTCCTGCATAGCTCAGATGGGACAGAATTTTTGTCCTGGCTGTGGAAAATGACCAAAATACAGGTCACTGGTGTGCTTTCTGACTCGTGACATTCTCAGAGTGAGGACACACAGCACTGATAGCATTGGGGAAACTAGTGGCTAGTAAAAGTAGGATCTCACGTTCACCCTGGCCATTGTGTCCTCTAGCTCGGGCACAAGCTCTCACAAATAACTCTGCAAGGGTTTCCGGGTGCCTCCAGCTTGTACCTTCTCAAACTGTGTGTGTGTGTGTGTGTGTGTGTGTGTGTGTGTGTGTGTCACCTGGGGATCAAGTTCAACTGCAGATTCCAATTCAGTGTTTCTTGGGTGGAGCTTGGAATTCTGCCTTTCTAAGAAGCTTGAATGAAAGCCCAGAAGCGGGTGGATCACTCAAGGTCAGGAGTTCGAAACCAGCCTGAGCAAGAGTGAGACCCAATCTCTACTAAAGATAGCAATTAATTGGCTAACTAAAAATATATATACAAAAAAAAAAATTAGCCGGGCATGGTGGCGCATGCCTGTAGTCCCAGCTACTTGGAGGCCGAGGCAGGAGGATCGCTTGAGCACAGGAGTTTGAGGTTGCTGTGAGCTAGGCTGATGCCACGGCACTCTAGCCCGGGCAACAGAGTAAGACTCAGTCTCCAAAAAAAGAAAGAAAGAAAGTCAGTACTGCTGGCCTGAAAACTACATGGACTAGCAAGGCTGTAGCTCGCCAAGAACCCTCACGTGTGGGTTGTTTTTTTTTCCATGTAGACTTTATAACTGCCCTGTGGGTTCAGCAGTGCTGGTGCGACCTAATTTTACACATCATAACACGGGTTCAAGTGGCAGATTGCCTAAGGTTGTTCTAGAATCCAAGTTTGCTAACTCATCTTGGAGTTTGTGTTATGCCTATTCTGATTCTGTTGTCGCATCGCAAATACAGAAGTGGGGAGTGCTGGAAGGGTGGGACCAAAATGACATTTTTTTTTTAATAATTTTTTTTTCTTTTTCTATTTAAGAAAATTCTTTTATTTATGATAATAAGTGGTTTGAACAAAATGACGTTTTTGGAAACCCAGTAGGGAAATACACAAATACTTTTATCATTATCATTATTATGTGTTTCTTGAGGTCTTACTGGTGAGAGGTAATGGGACTAAGGAGATAGAAAGTTTGTGTGAGAGTTCTTGCCACTTGTAGTCAACAAGAAGACACAGCAGATGGCAAGTGTCCTTCTGCTGGTGACAGACTTAATTGGCTGTCTTTGGGAACATCTGATTTAACTTGACTGTAGGAAGCCTTCCATCTTCCGAGTGGAAGTAGAACTTGAGAGCTCAGTGGAATTGATTGACGGGATGCTGTTCTCGTCATATGGTATGAAAGACATGCAAATCATATGCAAAGGGATAAATCTCACTTGAAGTTTGTCATCCAGAAACAAATGTCTTTATTCCAACTGGATTTTAATTTGGTGTTTGGGTAATGTTCAGTGAGGTCTTGATGATGTATATTCTTCATATTCTTCATGTATATGCTGAGAAGTAGCTAAATAGTGCAAAACAAAGAGAGGAAGATGCCAGCATGGAAATTAAGTGTGACATTGGTGGGTAGGGGTTCCAGGACCCAGCTGGTGACAGGTGGCCCTGCCGGCTGGGGTGGATGGGATGAGAGGCAGAGTGACCCTCATGTGGCCTTTGACTGTCACGGCTGCTTTGTCCAGGAAAAGGCTGCTTGATTAGCGCTGTCGATCCACCCTCCTTCCTGCTTCAGCTGTCTCTCGCCAGAGCAGTTTGCCACTGGGCGATCCAGCGGCTGCACAGAAAGATTCATTTGACGCGTGATTGAGTTCAGACACACAAGTGCCTTCATTCTGCAGTGCTCCAGTAGTGTTTTGTGAGAAACATAATACCTGTTCACTGCAAAACATTTGAAATTAAAGGAAAGTATGAAGAAAACTAATCACTATGCCCCTACCACTCAGAGATAACTATTATTATTACTATTTTAGTGTCATTCATGAACATACTAGGATCACCCTAAGTTGTTTCTTTTTCTATTAAAGTTTTGTAATCTACTCTTTCACCTAAGACTATTAGAATGAGTGTTTTACGAAAATTTGAAATACTAAGATGCACTTTTTTAGCTAGTTGGTATTCCATCAGATGGATGTATTATAGTTTGTCCAGCCATCCCTGATTGGCGAATATTTGGTTCCTGCTATTTAATATGTGTTATGCTGCAAGGCAAAC